TCCGCGGCTTATGTTTCTGGTGACGTTCTGTTTCTTCAAAACCTTCTTCAAACCTTGGTGCCTCTACCTCATCCAAATAATTGTGTCTATATCTTGGTTATTTCTTCATAAATAATTACAGTCATTTCTCATTATTTTCAGTAGTCCTATAAAGTTGCCTAGAACACTGAGTTAATAAAATACTAAACCCTGTTCCCAGGGAAATTGGTGTATATGTACCTATTTCACATAGGTTATAATCCGAATTCCTAAGAACAACTCATCCTGGTAGATTAAATTTTCTTTATTTACAAAAGGATAAAGGAAGTATAGAAGTGTTAAGTGATTTTCCCGAGGCCGCTCCACTAACAGTTGCCGGAGTTCAGATTCAGACCTCGCCCAGTTGGCCCCAGAGCCAGAGCTGCTTTTTTTTTGAGACGGAGTTTTGCTGTTGTTACCCAGACTGGAGTGCAATGGCACAATCTCGGCTCACCGAAACCTCCGCCTCCTGGGTTCAGGCAATTCTCCTGCCTCACCCTGCCGAGTAGCTGGGATTACAGGCACGCGCCACCATGCCCAGCTAATTTTTGTATTTTTAGTAGAGACAGGGTTTCACCTCGTTGACCAGGATGGTCTCAATCTGTTGACCTCGTGATCCACCCACCTCGGCCTCCCAAAGTGCTGGGATTATAGGCGTGAGCCACCGCGCCCGGCCAAGCCAGAGCTTCTTGCGCTACCCTGCACTGCCCTCTGCCGTGTCTGCCCTCTGGCCATCTTTGTATGAGAGCTGAAAGCAGACCGAGGGTCATCTTATTGGACCTTAGCTTGGGAAGTGTGCAAGGAGTGACAGACTTTTCACTACTGTGTGTTTAGCTGTGAGTCACCTTGAAAGCTCCCCAGGTACTGGGGATTACAAAGACATTTTAGCAAGTAAGTGAAAGTGCAAATATAGGATCCACAAATAGTGAGGATCAACTGTATGTGTAAGCGACTGCTAGGGTCGGCTTCATGGTAACCCCTTCCGCCGGTGATGGGGAATGTTTCTTTAGCTTCTTTGATAGTTCAATTATTTACTCATTTATATATTTACTTACCATATGAAATGAATCCCCAAAGAGTACAGTTGCTTTACTCAAGGGAGTCTTTTGCTACATACTGCTGCACGTAATGAAAATTAAAAAAAAGGCTAACTTTTTTGCCTTGTGACCTTGCGGTGATTTAAATAGAGGATTCATCAAAGGCACATTCCAAAATGAACTTGGTGTGTGTAAGTGGTTATGGCACATGCTTTTATAGATAGTTATATTTAAAATTTTTTTGAACTATGTATTTGTGCACATTACCCTATAAAATATAAGTGAATGGGCCAGGCAGGGTGGCTCATGCCTGTAATCCCAGCACTGTGGGAGGCCAAGGTGAGTGAATGGCCTGACATCAGGAGTTCAAGACCAGCCTGGCCAACATAGTGAAACCCCATCTCTCCTAAAAATACAAAAATTAGCCTGGAGTGGTGGTGTGTGCCTGTAATCCCAGCTACTCGGGAGGCTGAGGCAGGAGAATCACTTGAACCTGGGAGGTGGAGGTTGCAGTGAGCCGAGATCATGCCATTACACTCTAGCCTGAGCAACAAGAGCAAGACATAATAATAATAAGTGAATGAAGGAATGAAGTGGGATTATGAGAAAGAGCTAAGAAAAGAAGATCTAAGGGGCTGCCCATCTTTTTAGTACTCAATGGATATTTATATATAGCAGTAGAAGCAAAAATTGGAAGAGTAGCCCCAGGAAGGTAGGGAATCAGCCTTTCCTTTGTCTTTTCCTCAATTTCATAGAGTGTAAAAAATACTCTGAGTACAATAAAAGAATTTAAAACAAAAACATTTCCAGACCTTGTAAAATTAAAAAAAATAGAAGACAGGCCTAGTGGCTCACACCTGTAATCTCAGCACTTTGGTAGGCCAAGGCAGACAGATCACCTGAGGTCAGGAGTTTCAGATCAGCCTGGCCAACATGGTGAAACCCCATCTCTACTAAAAATAAAAACTTAGCTCGGCGTGGTGGTGGGCACCTGTGATCCCAGCTACTCAGGAGGCTGAGGCTGGAGAATTGCCTGAACCCAGGAGGTGGAGGTCACAGTGAGCCAAGATTGCACCACTGCATTCCAGCTTGGGCAACAGAGCAAAAGAAAAAAAAGTAAGGAAGGAAGAAGGGAGAGAGGGACGGAGGGAAGGATGGAGGGAGGGAGGGAAAAAATAAATATAAAAGGAAGATGGGGCCCCTTTGTGCACAGGAAGGAAGGAAGGAAAGAAGGAAGGAAGGGGGGAAAAATATAAATATAAAAGGAAGATGGGGCACCTTTGTGCACAGGAAGGAAGGAAGGAAGGAAAGAAGGAAGGAAGGAGGGAAAAAATATAAATATAAAAGGATGATGGGGCACCTTTGTGTACTGCATGTCCTGAAAATGGGCTGACTGACCTTGTGAAGCAGTGATTCAAGCTCTCTAGCCTACCTGGGATACATACAGGAGAAAAAAGAAAAAGGAAAGTGACATAAATTCTTCCTGGTTATAAAGGAAATAACCTTCCTTTTGTAATATTTTGGATAACAAAATATAAAGAGAAATCTTTAATTTAGTCACTCAAAACATTCTGGTTTGTTGCTTTTTATCCTTTTTTATGCATATAAACATTTTTAAAAGTAGAATCACAACATATAGTCTTTTGTCACTGACTATATTTTGGGCATATTTTTATGGCAGAAATATATCCTGACGTTATGATTTTTAATAGTTGGATGTATATTTAATGAATCATTGCCACCTCAGAGGTGAATTACTTTCTATATACATTTATTGGACTCAAGCACATATTTTTGGAATGAATTAATACCAGTAGAATTTCTGGTGGAAAATAGTATAAAACAGTTTTAGGTTTTTTTTTTTTTGAGATGGAGTTTCGCTCTTGTTACCCAGGCTGGAGTGCAATGGCACGATCTCAGCTCACCGCAACCTCTGCCTCCTGGGTTCAGGCAATTTTCCTGCCTCAGCCTCTCAAGCAGCTGGGACTACAGGCGTGCACCACCATGCCCAGCTAATTTTTGTATTTTTTGTAGAGACAGGGTTTCACCATGTTGACCAGGATGGTCTGGATCTCTTGACCTCGTGATCCACCTGCCTCGGCCTCCCAAAGTGCTGGGATTACAGGCGTGAGCCACTATGCCCGGCCCAGTTTTAGGGTTTTTAATAGAAATGTTGAAACAATTTTGTAGGAAAATTGGTTCAGTTTTTCCTCCCACCAACAGGGACAGAGCTCCAGGTTTCCACTTCCGTTTGTGATCTTTGTTGATCTTTAAGCAGAAACTCTCATTGTTTTCATTACATTTCTTTGGTTTCTAGTGCTTTTGAATCTTTCTCATATGCTCATTGGCCATTTGTATTTTTGTGGAAAGTGCCCGTTTCCCTATTGGTTATTTTATGTTGGAAATGATTCATTTTCTTCTGAGAAATTTAAAAGATTTCCTTATAGGCTAAGGATACAAACCTTTTATCTGTCATCGAGATTACAAAGACTTTCTCCCAGTAAGTGATTTCTCATTTCACTTTATTTTTTATTGTATTGTATTGATTGATTTTGCTAGCCAAGCACCAAAGTCTCATTTCACTTAATTTTTATTCTGCTCAATGAAAGTGTTTTAACTTACTGGTTTTAGTGTAAGCAGGAGCAGGACAGATGCAATTATCTAGGTCTCACTCTGTCACCCCGACTGGAGTTCAGTGGCATGATTGTAGCTACTACAGCCTCGAACTCCTGGGCTCCAGCGATTTTTCCCACCTCAGCCTCCCAAGTAGCTAAGACTACAGATGTGTGCTGCAACACCCAGCTAATTAAAAAAAAATTATATAGATATGTGAATTCTCTATGCTGCCCAGGCTGGTCTTGAACTCCTGACTTCAAGTAATCCTCCCACCTTGGCTCGCCAATGTGCTGGGATTACAGGTGCGAACTACTGCTCCCAGCTGAGAGCTTACTTTTGTTTGCTAGTGGTGTTTTTGGTATCTTTTTCTATTTGAGGCCTTGGTGCTAGTGCTAACGTATTCCACTCACTATCTGAGGTTTACAGGACTTTTGTTTGAATATTGAACAGATGGAACTGTTTAGTTCTGGGTCTTTGCAGGTATACAAAATGTGCCTGCCGGAACTGTTTAGTTCTGGGTCTTTGCAGGTATACAAAATGTGCCTGCCAGGACTCTGCTTTATAACCATTGAAAAGCGGGAAGCAATACAGTAAAACTTTGCCTGGCTAGAGGCTTTGGAAGAATGGAGTATTCTGATTTAATTCTATTACCTGGGAAGAATGATGGTGATAAAAATTCAAAACTTCAATTTCCTGTTGAATGCAACGTGAAAATATAGCCAATTATTCTGCTTTTCTTCTCTAGTAAATTTGGACATTCAGATGTACTTGGTCTTTTATGATGGAACTCCTAGTGTGCCTGAGTCTTCCATTGTGAGATCCTTTCCTAAAACTTTCGATGTAAGAGGATGTAAATGATATTGGATGAAATCAGGCTGTAAGTATACTTTTTAGACAAAATCTCTGCCGCTCATTTTCTTATTTTATTCATATGAATAAAACACATTGGCTGGAGGGTGGGAGTAGGAAGGAGATTTCTGTCTTTTCATTTCATGTCATTGTTTCATATCAAGACAGAACATACAGTATCCCTTTGGACCTACAGAAGGAAACACCTTTTTCTACCTGCTGTATACCAGAGGTTCCTGAACACCTGGAGGGCCTATTGCAACACAGATTTCTGGGCCCTACTTTAGAGTTTGCGATTCATCAGGTCTAGGGTGGGGCCTGAGAATGTGCATTTATAAGAAGTTGCCAGGTGCTGCTGGTGCTGCTGGTCCAAAGACTACATTTTTGAGAATGACTCTTACGTGCTAACTATAAATTGTGAACTCTAAAAAAAAGCTTAGTTTGGTCTGGGATAAAAGCACACAGGTAATGGAGTAAATCATGAAAAAGTCAACCCTTGATCCCAGCCTAATATGGAATTCAGGTAACAAGCAATATACAGTGACATAACACAGTTCTTGGTTTTCATGATTGCAAGTCATAGCCCCGTATCAAGTGAGAAATTCAGTTTCATTCACAGGACTTAGAGAGGCCAGGTGATTCTAGAAAAATAGGATTTAGTGATTAACCTCATGAGAGTAGGAGTTATTTGTGTCCTTTTTCTCTCCCCCATCACTTAGCATTCAGCCTTACTTTAGGAGGGTCTTGTATTTGTTTTAAACTGGTAAAGAGCTTTGAACGCTTATTAAGTGGAAAGCTTTGTGTATTTATTTATTTATTTTGAGACAGAGTCTCATTCTGTTGCCCAGGCTGAAGTGCAGTGGCATGATTTTGGCTCACTGCAACCTCCACTTCTTGGGTTCAAGCAGTTCTCCTGTCTCAGTCTCCCAAGTATTTGGGATTACAGGCTCCCGCCACCATGCCCAGCTAGTTTTTGTATTTTTAGTGGAGATAGGGCTTCATCATATTGGCCAGGCTGGTCTTGAACTCCCGACCTCAGGTGATCCACACACCTCAGCCTCCCAAAGTGCTGGGATTACAGGCATGAGCCACCCTACCCAGCTCAAAAGTTTGTGTTTTTAAAGATGTTAGACATGTTTATTTTTTTCTTTTTTGAGACAGAGTCTTGCCCTGTCACTAGGCCCCAGGCTGGAGTTCAGTGGCACAATCTCAGCTCACTGCAACCTCCGCCTCCCGGGTTCAGGCATTTATCCTGCCTCAGCCTCCTGAGTAGCTGGGACTACAGGTGTGCGCCACCATGCCTAGCTAATTTTTGTATTTTAGTAGAGATGGGTTTTCACCATGTTGGCCAGGATGGTCTCGATCTCTTGACCTCATGATTCTCCCCCCTCAGACTCCCAAAGTGCTGGGATTACAGACGTGAGCCACTGGGCCCCCATACATGTATCTTTAAAAAAAAAAAAAATTTAAAATGTAGGGGACTAAAAGAAACTTTTCAAAAAAAAATCACTGTGATCATTTCATCTCATTGGAATGTTGGATAATACAGTCTGGTCATCGTCAAGCATGCTATAGATTTGAGGTAATAAAGTTTTAAAGTTTTTCAAGTGAAAACCCAGCCCTGCCCCTCTACCGGAGTGGGTGGGGGCAGCTGGTGCATGGGCAGCCTTCATTGTGACACCACAGGTCCCTCATGACACACCACTGCCTGACCACACCTCAATTCCCTTTTATCTTTCTCATTGACCAATGAGCTTGAAGTATTCAGGCCACACCCATATTCTGGGTTCTAGTGAGGCCCTGGTTACACCTCCTCTGGTTCAGTCACACAGCTGCATGGTAGGTGACAGGACGTATCTCACTATCCTCTTCTGTATCACGATGATGTGGCCCCAACCCCACATCCCTCCTCAAAACTACGTCCCTCTCCAACCTTATGTCCCTCCTGAACCCTACATCCCTTTCTAAGCCCATGTCCCTCCCCAAGCCCATGTCCCTCCCCAACCCCATGTCTCTCCCCAACACTACGTCCCTCCCGAACCCTACCTCCCTGCCCAAGCCCACGTTCCTCCCCAAGCCCACGTCCCTCCCCAAGCCCACGTCCATCCCCAAGCCCACATCCCTCGAGAACTCTACATCCCTCCCAGACCCCACGTCCGTCCCGTAGCCTGTGTCCTTCCCCAAGACCACGTCCCTCCCTGACCCCATGTCCCTCCCTGACCCCACTTCCCTCCCCACCCCGAGATATCCAAAGCAACCAGAGAGTGCAAATGGACCAAGGAAAAGCTAAAACGCACCAGGTGTGGACCCCCAACCCAGCCCCAGGCCCTCTGTGACAGCAGGACTGCTGCCAGAGTCTCTGCCACTCCTGAGCCGCACTGGGCTGGCCCCCCAGTGCCTCTGGGCTCCCTGTACCAAAATCTTGTCAGCCAGCCCCACCCCATTAGCAATCCTGACCCTGCTCTCGCCAGTCGCCCCAGGGCGATTTGAGCTGGTGACTCCCCGGGCTCCTCACTCCATACTCTGCCCTCACCTCTTGCTGCCCCAGGGTCAACCTCCCTGGGCTGTTCGGGCTGGCATCTCCAAGGACCTTGGTGCCCCAATGCCTGCCCTCACCAGTTTCCCTAGGGTGAGTTTGGGCAGGTGACTCCTGGGACTCCCCACTCTGTACTTGGCCCTCACCTCCTGCTGCCCCATGCCTGAGTTCCCTGGGCTCTTTGGGCTCATGTCTCCAAGGACTTGGGTCCTGGCCCTGCACCACCTCCATCTCAAAGTGCAACTCGGGCATCACACTGATGTGTCCCCATCACCCCACAGAGGAGTGAGGGTGGGCCACTCACCTGAGGATGTGAGTCTTGGCTGGCCAGCCTCCAGGGGACAGAGGGCCCAAGGGACAGTAGAGGGTAACTGTGAAGATTGTGGAAGCACTGCCGGGTACCGGTTAGGAACCCTGGGTTTGAATGCTGTCTCTCCATCTGCTAAGGGGATGATTTAGGGCAAATTGCTTGAGCTCTTTGGGCCTCTCTCTTTTCATGTCTGTAAAATAGGGGTGCTGTTGTTTTACTTACATTTGTGAAGTTTCAATGAGATTTGATCTTGTTTTTATGTTAATCCCTAGTACAGGGCCTGCTGTGAACACCTCTCCTCCTTGGGCTTGTGTTTCTTGAGGAGGTGGAGGTAGAGAGTATCACAGGTTTCTGTTAGCTCTGAAAGTCTAAGATTTCAAGGCCAACGAGAGTGGAAACCTTGAGGCCAAGGGCTCCTGTCTGGCTTTTCCATCCCATATCCCCACTGTGAAGAGCCGTAGCTGGCCTGTTTGTGTTCGGTGTTTGATGAATAAATGCACCTTTGTAAATGACAAACTGGCAGAAGGGTGGGCTTTTCTCACACTCCATCTCTGAAGATTGATGTGACTGTCCTTTGGAGAGAATCTAGTTTCAGACTTTCCATTCTGTGGCTCTGGGTGAAAACCAACAAAGACCCAAATCCTCTTCCTTTGGGAGCTTGAGGAGAGTTTACTAGTTTAGGTTCCCATTGGGTCTGAGAACTTTCACTCTAAACTCCACTCCCAGCCCCTGCCTACTGCTTCCTGGCCTGGGGAATAGAGTTGAGGCGGCCACCCTCGGTCACCTTCCTTTGACTCTCCCCATAGAAACAACAGAACCAACCTCAGCTGGATGAAGTAACGTGATTTCTTCATGACATGATTGCTGGGTTTGGGGGGCACTGAGACATAGAGGCCCCAGCCTTGTCTCGCCCACTCCCGTCCAGGGAAAGAAGACTCATCCTCCAAGATTCCACCCTATGCCACAGAGTTCCCGATAACCTGATCCCATGGGTGGTCCTGTCCTGGGGCATTGGGGGCATGTCTCCCTGTGCCATCTCTGTCACCCCCTAGTAAGAGCACTGTCTTCCTCTTTCTGTAGGAAAACAAGCCAAGCCACCACCATCAGGCAGCGCTCAGGAGGCAGGTAGAGGTGAGTGGAGGGTGTGGAGTTCCCACCTGTCCTCTGGAGGTTTCTTTGCTTCTCTTTCAGCACGTGCTTGGCTTTTCTCCCACAGGCTCGGGCTCACAAAATCAGTGACCTGGAGAGAGAACTATATTTCACAGATAGTGTGGCCAGGCGGCTAGAAGGTGGGAATCTGGGCACCCCATCATCCTTCAACCTGGCACTTGGACAGGCTTTTAGGGGGAGTCCCTTGGGCCTCCTTTCAACCTCTTTTTCCAGGAGATTGCAGTTACCTCTCCGAACTCCTGCAACATGCCTCCCAACACGTGGAGGACTTGAGGCAGGCTCTGTCTGATGTCCCCACACAGAAAAAGGTGGCAGACAGGGTGAGTCCAACCACCTGCCCCATCCCCTGGCAACCCAGCTTCCCACATGGAGGAGTGAGTCTAAAGGTCCCTTCTGCAGGATGGAGCATCCTTCCCAGAAGGCACCATGGGCCATTTCTTGGTGCTTTTGTGTGTGGTTGTTAGAGGCAGGCTGTGGGTGAGTTGCAGGTACTGTAGGGAGTGAGCACAGGACACAGAGCTCGGAGGCCAAGTGCCCGCCCTGCCCTTACCTGGCTGTGGCCTTGGCCAAATCCTAGGTGGGGGTTAGGGTACTTGTGCCATGAAGGTGCGGAAGAGTATCTTTAGTATGTTACCATGTGTGTAGAGAGAGAGAACACGTGTTTGTGTGTGTGCATGTATCATGGTAAAATACATAAAACATGTTTGTGAGGATTCATTAGAAACTGAGTAGAGGGGAAAGTGTGAGTGGGAGATATTTCCCTTTTGTACCTTCTGAGTTTTGGACTATATGAACATACGGTCCGTTCAAAAAGTCAACAAGATTAATTTCCTCCTTCTTATCTGTGCCCCCACCACCAGGAAAGAATGGGCTTAGAGAATCAGAGAAACCTGGGGGTTGAATTCCCAGCTCTGTCTCAGTGATCCTAGGCAGCACTTAACCTTTAATACCCCCTGTTTTTCATCTGCACGGTAGAGGTAATAATAGTAACCGTCTCCTGGTGGTTGTGAGGATTAAATGGGATTGTTGGCACAGTGCCTGGTAAAGCACTCAGTGAAGATTCCAGCAGCGGTAGTAATAACAGTCATAACAATAGCAATATTATCTGATCTCTCCAGGCTCGTGAGCCAGGTATAAATTCAATCTCTTTCCCTGTTCCTTTTACCCTTACCCAGTTCTTTGAAACACAAATGAGGGCCAGGCTCATTGGCTCACACCTGTAATCCCAGCACTTTGGGAGACCGAGGTGGGCAGATCACCTGAGGTTGGGAGTTTGAGACCAGCCTGAACAACATGGAGAAACCCTGTCTCTCCTAAAAATACAAAATTAGCCAGGCGTGATGGTGCATGGCAGGAGAATCACTTGAACCTGAGAGGTGGAGGTTGTGGTGAACCGAGATCATGCCATTGCCCTCCAGCGTGGGCAACAAGAGTGAAACTCCATCTCAAAAAAAATAAAGAAAAACAAAGGAGACCATGGGCATGCCTTGGGAACATGCCCGGCGTGACTGAGAGCGAGGAGTGTTGCTGTGGAGTGGTCACTGCAGCCGTTGTTCCTGTCGGCCAGCTGCTGCTCTGTCTGCTGCATCCTGACTTAAAACCTTTCTGTTTTTGCAGTGCAACGAGTTAAGAAAGGAGAGGGATGGCCTGAGTCTGGAACTGTACAGGAGCACGTAGGACAGGGGAATGTGGGATGGGAGGTCTGGGGGCCCTTAGCGTGGGTGGAGTGCTGGGAGGTGGGTGGTACAGGTGAACATGGTGAGGGGGTCATAGAGGTTTGCATGTGTGCCCAGCAAAGCTCTAGTGCCGGCTGTGCCACTGACTCATGGGGTAGCCTCGGGCAACTCATGTCTTCTCTCTGGCCTGCCACCTGTGACTTTTAATTCCTGGGGTCCCTTCCAGTGCCACGGTTCTGTGGTGGTTGTGGGGTGAGGGTAGAGGGTTGATCAGCAAAGCGGTCCTTTCTGTTCTTTGTTCATGCCTTTCTCTACTGCCTCTGGCCATAGTATAATCAGTGAGGCGCTACAGAGGAAGAACAGCAAACTTAGACTCCTACAGTCCAAAAAGTCCAGCATCCAGCAGCTACAGAGAAAGCTGGCTAGGGCCAAGCTCCTGCTGCCACAGGTGAGAGGCTGCAGCCCTGGGGGTTGTGGGAGCCCCATCCATCTGGGGCCATGGTCGAGGGATCATGCAGGGTATAGGGAGGCTCCAGCCCAGAGCTGGAAATTCTGGGTCTTGGTGCTGGTCCCACAATAGGATCCTCTAGACTGTGTTAGAAATCTACCAATTGTCACCTTGGGAATCAGAATCTCAGAGTTAGGACTTAGAAAAAATTTTTTAAAGCATTGTGGATGAAAATGATTATTTTGTAGATGACATTTCTATGGCTAGCTCATGAGTCTATTTCTTCTTGAGGTTCAAACCAACACTTTCACTATTGCAGGTGCAGCTACAGGAGGAGGTCGAGAACCTGAAGCAGGAGCTTCACAGGCTCAAAGGAGAGCTCCAGGAACAGCTGGATGAAAGTAATCACTGGGAACACCTCTACCAGGAGCAAGAGGAGAAGATCTGGAAGGGGGAGCAGAAGACATGGGAGCAGTTGCAGAAGATGTGGAAGTGGAAGCATATGATGTGGGAGCAGGAGGAGATGTGGAAGTGGGAGCAGATGAGGCAGGAGTGGGAGCATATGATGCGGGAGCAGGAGGAGAAGATGTGGAAGTGGGAGCAGATGAGGCAGGAGTGGGAGCATATGATGCGGGAGCAGGAGGAGAAGATGTGGAAGTGGGAGCAGATGAGGCAGGAGTGGGAGCATATGATGCGGGAGCAGGAGGAGATGTGGAAGTGGGAGCAGATGAGGCAGGAGTGGGAGCATATGATGCGGGAACAGGAGGAGATGTGGAAGTGGGAGCAGATGAGGCAGGAGTGGGAGCATATGCTACGGGAGCAGGAGGAGAAGATGTGGAAGTGGGAGCAGATGAGGCAGGAGTGGGAGCATATGATGCGGGAGCAGGAGGAGAAGATGTGGAAGTGGGAGCAGATGAGGCAGGAGTGGGAGCATATGATGCGGGAGCAGGAGGAGATGTGGAAGTGGGAGCAGATGAGGCAGGAGTGGGAGCATATGATGCGGGAGCAGGAGGAGGAGATGTGGAAGTGGGAGCAGATGAGGCAGGAGTGGGAGCATATGATGCGGGAGCAGGAGGAGGAGATGTGGAAGTGGGAGCAGATGAGGCAGGAGTGGGAGCATATGATGCAGGAGCAGGAGGAGGAGATGAGGCAGCACGAACAAAAGATCCAGGAGCACGAGCAGAAAATACAGGAGCATGGACAAAAGATGGAGCAGAAGAGGCGTCGGGAGCAGGAAAAGATGCAGGAGCAGAATTGTTGTAAAATGCTGGCTGGGTGCGGTGGCTCATGCCTGTAATCTCAGGACTTTGGGAGGCCGAGGCGGGTGAATCCCTTGAGATCAGGAGTTGAAGACCAGCATTGTTAACATGGTGGATCTGGGAGATGGAGGTTGCAGTGAGCTGAGAGCCTGCCACTGCACTCCAGCCTGGGTGACAGAGCGAGACTCTGTCTCTAAAAAAAATATATATATACCTGAGAATCCTCATATCTATGTATGTTTCTGTTGTCTTTTTGATCTCTCGGTCTTTCTCCTTTAGTCTGGTCTGATGGCAGGCCTAGTAAACCAGTATCTGCCTCCAGAGAGTATTCACTTTGACTTTAAGGCACACAATCGGAGTAAGGGAAGATCACCATCATCGAGTTTGGGACTAAGCTGGTTCAAAACAGGTTGTAGGTTTTGTGACAGCTGGTCTAATTTTTATCCATTTGGACTCTTAGGGGTGGCCCTTCCAGGGTCCCCACCAAGGTCCCAACTCCTTACTGGGGCCCACATTCTCATGATGACATTTCAGCCCTGTGAGAGTGGCAAACATTCAGCTCGGCTTTCCAGCCTCTTAACTATCCCTTCATAGTCAGGTTCTTAGCCTCTGGGCCCTATGCTGTTTACCAGTCACCGAACATGGGGAAAAGGCCTACAGACTTTTCTGTAGGGGTCAGGTCACTCAAGTCCTCCTGAGGTCTCTAGTTACCTTCCAACAATTGTTTTTGGTGGGGGTGGGGGCACAGTTTTTCTGTTTGTCCAGTTTTTCGAACTGTTTTTGTGAAGAGGGTTATCTATACCAAGCTACTCTGCCTTTAAAGTTGAAAATCTTTTTCTGTCTTATTTATTTATTAGTTTTAACAGAGCCTCACTCTGTTGCCCAGGCTCTGGTGCAGTGGTGTGATCTGGGCTCAATGTAACCTTGGCCTGCTGGGTTCAAGCAGTTCTCCTGCCTCAGCCTCCCCAGTAGCTGGGATCACAGGTGTGTTGGCACTGCCTGGCTAATTTTTGTATTTTTAGTTTCACCATGTTGGCTAGGGTGATCTCAAGCTTCTGACTCAGGTGACCTACCTGCCCTGGCCTCCTAAAGTGCTGAGATGATAGGTGTGCACAGCCATCTGTCTTTTAATAAATGTTTTTGGCTGGGGTGTGATGTCTCACGCCTGTAATCCCAGCACTTTGGGAGGCTGAGGTGGGCAGATCAAGAGATTGAGACCATCCTGGCCAACATGGTGAAACACTGTCTTTAGAAAAAAAAATACAGGCCGGGCGCGGTGGCTCAAGCCTGTAATCCCAGCACTTTGGGAGGCCGAGGCGGGTGGATCACGAGGTCAAGAGATCGAGACCATCCTGGTCAACACGGTGAAACCCCGTCTCTACTAAAAATACAAAAAATAAGCTGGGCATGGTGGTGCGTGCCTGTAATCCCAGCTACTCAGGAGGCTGAGGCAGGAGAATTGCCTGAACCCAGGAGGCGGAGGTTGCAGTGAGCCGAGATCGCGCCATTCATTGCACTCTAGCCTGGGTAACAAGAGTGAAACCCTGCCTCAAAAAAAAAAAAAAAAAAAAAAAAGAAAAAAAATACAAAAATTAGCAGGGTGTGGTGGCACGTGCCTGTAGTCCCATCTACTTGGGATTCTTAAGCAGGAGAATCATTTGAACCAGGGAGGCAGAGGTTGCAGTGAGCCGAGATTGTGCCACTGCCCTCCAGCCTGGCGACATAGTGACACTTCGTCTCAAAAAAAAACAACAACCACTTTTTAATTTGTGGCATAACTTATATCCAGTGAAATGCCTAGATCTGAAGTGTACGTTCTGATGAGTTTTCACAAATGCATTACCCATGTAACTCCCCTCCTTTCAAGATACAGAACATTTCTGTCATCCAGTAAGTTCTGTGCTTCAAATCTGTCCTGCACTCCTGCAGCAGCTGCTGCACGTGCTGAGGACATTGGCACAGGACTCTGGCCTCCCTAACAGAGCCGCTTTCACAAGCCTGCTCGCCTTCCCCAGCACTAAATCCCTGCCTGCTCTCTCAAACTTGCCATCTTTACATTGGTTGTACCTATAACCCTCCCTCATCAATTCAATAGATAAACAAACCCTGAAAAACAAACACTCCTTCCTGCCCCAGCAGCCCACAGCCTAATACTCACTGTATACCCAAGCTTTCAGAAATCTGACTCGCAGGGGCCTGGTGGCTGCATCCCCTCCTCCTCCTGATGGCTTCTACCAGCCTACAGGGCCCACAGACCAGATCTGGCCAGGGAGCCTGAGCCCGGACGTGCAGCGGAGACTCCTGCCCCCTCACCCTCACTAGGGTGGCAGCTGCATGGCAGCAGCTGGGCGGCTCCCCTCTTAAGCCAGAAGCCGTTGGCTGGACACTGACACTCAGACCCCAGCCTGGGTGAGCCTAGCTGAAGGCCCCCTTCCTTCCCATCTGACTGTGGAGGGAGGGAGCAGTGTGTACACAGCTCCACTGCCCTCCCCAAACTTCAGCTGTGCTTCCTCCTGGGAGAGGGAGCCGCTCATTAATTTGGCCAAAGCCTTCTTGAGGGCTGTAGTTTGACAGGCTGGGTGTGTGTGGGCCCACTGTGCTACAGAGAGGCTAGTGTGTCAGAAGACAGCCACCTGGCCAGAGCAGGGTCAGCCTCCTTGGTGACCTCCTGCTCCCTTCTGGACACAGATCCTGCACTCTCCCCATATCAATGCTCCTCTCGGAACTGCATCCAGGGGTAGGGTTCTAACCCTGTGGGTGGGGACATTATGTTAGTTTACAATGGGCCATGGTTCCCTCTGACATCTCAAACTCAGAGTCAGCAGAGAGAAGAGAAATTCCCTACACCTCCTCCCTCCTCAGCACCCCCATCTCTGCACACATTCACATATGGAGATCTCAACATTAGTGCCTGGGAGTGCTGCCATCTTCGTGTCCTTTTCATGCCTGCAGCAGCCCCGCCCACCGTCCAGACCCTCACCCGCCTGGCTCACTCAGTAGGTGCTGCACTGCCTCTGGTCCTGCGCCTACACCTGGGCCTCTGTATCCATCAGTTCCCCCAGTCTGGTTATTTTCCCCAACAAATAGGGAGCGCATAAGGTTACCTGTTGAGCAATCTGGGAGAGAACATAGGGTGGGGCTGTGAGGATGAGGAGTAGAAGCTGACAGTTGTGCCGGAGACTCAGCTGAGCAGTCTCTGCAGGCCCTTTGGCTGCCTGCCCAGTGGCCATCACACTCCCACCCTCATTTCTTCTTTGTTAACAAAACCATGACTTCGTTAAATATTGGACAGCTACAAGCTTCATGGACCTTCCTGCAGCCTCCCTGCCATGTACTGGTAAGTCTAAGTCAACTCTAGTCATTTCATTCCTCTGGCCAATGATTGCTTAGGGCTTGGGTATGAGCTGCCTCTTTGCCTGAGTCAGCCACAGCTGCCCTCTGCACCTACCACGCTGATGCGCTGGGCCAGGGAGAGCTCTGTCTCGATGGAGATGAGCTGTGAGGAGCTGGTGGCTGGGAAGGTCAGGTGGTGGTAACGGGTTTTGTTCAGAAGGTTTCCATCAGCTTCTTCTTGGCACTGGCCACACAGCCGTCCCCTGGAAAAACACACAGACCTGCCAGGCCCTTGTGCAACTGCCCCCACTGCAGCTGACAGCTATGAAGGGGGAGCCCAGAGGGCCAGGGAGCACAGGTGCCTCAAGGGCCAGCTGAAGCAGTGAACGTGCTGGCAGGCCTGGCTCTCCCTGGGGACTTCAAATGACATTCAAGACAGAGCTCATCCATATTCTCCCATGCCAGAGGTCTTCCTCCTTTTCTTCTCTCGAGCAATGGATGGCATCTCACACTCTACACATCTGATACAAAACTGAGTGTCTCGTCCTGCCCCCTCCCTTGCTTCATCCAAGTAGCCACCGAGTCCTGTCTGCCCTCCCATCTCCACAGCTACAGCCATGTCCAAATCGCCCCAGCCCAGCCCTCCTTGTGTATTTATCCATACTCTGCCCCTGCCATCCATGTACCAGACAGTGGCAGGCTGGTCTTTCTACAGCAAACTGAACTAGGGCTCTTTCCTACCCACAGCTCTCACAGCTAAAGTTGGAGTTAAGCCTCACATGGTTTGGCTTGGCATTCAGAGGTCTTTCCCCCTTGGCACTGTTGCATCCAGAGCACTCAGTGCACGGCAGGGCAGGAGCCCCCTTCCTCAAATGTGGGTTTGGTGCAGAACTGGGTATGAGATGGTGATTTCCCTAAGAAGAAACAGGCTGAGGTGGGGGGGATTTTCTGGGTTCAGAGTTAGACCGCCAGAGTGCAAGCTTCCTTTGAGACACCAAATGGAGGGGTCCTGCTGGCAGCTGGCTCCTGGTCTGGAGCTTCAGGGTGGGTTCTCAGCTCAGAGCCGCATTCAAGAGCCAGCTTAAATGCAGCCTCCTTCAGGGAACACCCAGAGCTTCCACAGCCTCAGATCTGCCCCTCTGCATACTCCAGATCTTTTGCCAAGTGGCATTTGGGTCTTCATGTCATCTCCCTCCCATGCCTGGGAGTAAGGTGAGGTGCAGGGACTTAAGCTTGTGTTCTCTGGTGCCTTTGGGGGAATGTGTCAAGTAGAGAGGAGGTGGCTTGGAAAGAGGGAGACTCAGAGGAGAGTCAAGGACATGTGAGCAGGCGAGCCTTGGAGCAGGAAAAGAAATGAGAGTGAGCAGAGGCACGGGCCAGGGCAGGGGAGCAGGTGGGAGGATTGGGGAATCGGGGCTGGAGAGGTGGGGGTGGGGATGCAGGCGAGGGGCTGTCTGGCTGTCCAGGCTCGGTGTCAATTACATCCTCCCGCAAGGGCCAGCTCACCCGGTCACCCCAAAGCTCTCCCTCTGTGGGTGGGCCCAGAGCGGGGATGACTCAATTGAGCAGGACTGAGGTGGACTGGGGTGGGTGCTGGGCTGGACTCCTGGCTTCGGGGAGCAGCCACCACCCTGCCTACTGCATCCACTTTCCAGCTGGCTGCCTCTCTGAGCAGATGCAATATTGGGTGCCTTGTGAAACACGCTCCCAGTGCACCTGCAGCCTGCTGTACCTCTGGGACTGCCCTAGGCTCTCCAGAGGGGCTTCCTGTGGAGGCTGGGCCTAGATTTTGAGCCCTGCCTCTCATATCTGGGGCCCCTCCCCCAGAGGCCAGCTGCTTGAGTAGCCCGGAAACCAGTCTATCCCCAGGGTACAGCTGGGTTTGTTCCATAGCCCTTCATGGTGTATCTATTTGGACTGACTCCTCATTTCATACAGAGGGATGTGTCTTGCCCCAGCTCATCTGGCATGTCTAAAGCAACTGTGGGGTCAGAATCTGCAGCTCCCAGCCCCCAGCCCTGCTACATTAGGGGAGGCTGGACCCCACATCTCTGAAGTCTCACGGGGCTGGTGCGAGTGGGCTCCCAAGTCCAGGTCTGCTCTGCAGGCTGTGGGGCTCACGCTCCAACTCCAGGCCCACCTGATGTGCTCAGGCTGCTCACCTTTGGGCCTGTCCTGCCTCTCAGGTATTCGGCTGACCCCGAGGGCCTCTCCCTCATCTTGACCACCAGCTACGGGCTCTGACCTAGGTTCCCAGAACCTTAGACCATTTGGCTCAACCCCCCATTTCTCAGCTGGGGAAACTGGGACCCAAGAAGGGAAGCAACTTTCTCACGGACCCCCAGCAAGTCAGAGGCAGAACCGGGTCTAGGAGCCTCTTTCCAACAGCGGTCCTCCCTGACCCCTGAGCCTTCTTTGTAGTCTTGTTAACTTCCCTGTAAGGAGACCGCCCTGCCAGGCTGGAAATGGTGCTGTCCAGGGTGGTGTGTGCTCATGACTGTGCCTGTGTTTGTACTTGTGAGTGTGTAGGGGGGTGGGGATGGGGGGACGGGGATGAGGGTGGGAATAAACAGCAGCATGTTAAGGGCTGGAATGCACTGCAGCTTACCCCCAAAAAAGTCTCCGGGGAGCCCTGCCCAGCACAAAACATGCTTAGGCTTTCCAATCTGCTGAATGCCTGTGAGGCTGGCTGGGCTAAGAAGACAAAGGACAGGCCTTTCCCCCACAGATGGCAAACGTGGTCCAGGATGGGTGGAAGCTTCTGCAGCAGGTTTGGGGGTCACATTCCAGCCCATGAACTGACAATTAAGCACAGAAGCCACCTCTAGGGGTCAGTCATGATCCAGGGATTCTGATGAGGCCAGGTGAAACCCTGTCTCTAACAAAAATACAAAAAAGTTAGCTAGGTGTGGTGGCAGGTGCCTGTTAAGGAGCCGAGATGGCGCCATAACACTCCAGCCTGGGTAACAAGAGGGAAACTCCGTCTCAAAAAAAAAAAAAAAAAAAAAAAAAGGAAGAAATCGGCTGGGCGAGATGGATCATTCCTGCAATCCTAGCACTTTGGGAGGCTGAGGCAGGTGGATCACCTGAGGTTAGAAGTTGGAGACAAGCCTGGCCAACATGGTGAAACATCTGTACTAAAAGTACAAAAATCAGCTGGGTGTGATGGCACACGCCTATAATCCCAGCCACCTGGGAGGCTGAGGCAGAAGAATCACTTGAACCCAGAGGTTGAGGTTGCAGTGTGTGGAGATCATACCACTGGACTCCAGCCTGGGTGACAGAGTGAAACTCTGAAAAAAAAAAAAAGAGAGAGAAAGAGAGAGGAAGGAGGGTAGGAGGGAGGAAGGGAAGGAAATCAACCTGGTGCCGTGGCTCACACCTGTACTCCCAGGACTTTCGGAGGCGCGTCCTGCAGGCTCAGGTGAGTGCGCGTGCGCCCGGTAGAGGCGGCCCTGCGCGCTTGCCGTACGCCGCTTCCGGGACGCGCCTGTGGCGACCCAGCTGCCGAAGGTTTGTGCGGCTCCGCGCGGCCTCGCTGAGGAGCTCGGCCTCGCTGACAGAGCGGGCGGCGACTCCGCGGGACCGCAGCGCGCTGCAGCAGCCCCGCACCCTGGCCAGGTAAGCTGGGGGGCTCGGGCTGCCTGACTCGCAGGCGGTGGCAGCCTGGGGTCTCCCGCGGCGCTGCAGGCACCCGGACGCTTGTGGGGCGGCCGGTGGTTCCGGCCCCAGTGCTCCGGAGGGCTGCCTTGTGTACTCCGCGGAGCTGCGGGGGGCGGTTGTTGCTGGGGTCTAGGGGAACAGCCCAGCAGCCCCACTCCTCTCCTACGGGCCACTTCCTGCTCCCACGGCCGGTGGAGGGGGCGTGCATCGTGTACGAGGCGGTGGCTCCCGAATCCGTGGGTTGGGTGGGGGAGCATGGCAGCGAATGGCCACCTGGTGCCGGCTAGAGGCTCTTTCTGGGGGTTGCGGGGGCACTCGGGTCCTGCCGCCCGGCTGGATGGGCCGCTGGTGGCTGGTGCGTTCCTCCATCCTCCCTTGGCCCTGGCATCGAGTCCCAGTGCTGGGTGACAACAGGGTTGGAGTCGCCTCTGGGTTCGCTGTCCCGGGAGAACCTGAGCCTGGATCTTTGCCCCCTTCCCTTTTCCTTTATAATAAGGCCCAGAGAGAAAAACATCTTAATTAAAAGACCCCACACCCCGTTGCACCGGTTTGGGGGCATGGGGGGGTGGGGGGGAGGGACCTGCCCTTGGGCCGGGGCCCCTTCCACCAGGCTTGCACTGCCTGGCAAGGCTGCTGGTGGTAGATCTGGCTGCAGATGGTGAAGGAGAACATTGAGAACAGTTCCCCACCCCTTGGCTGTGCTGAGCTCATCTGGAGTGTTTCTGGTTCTAATCAGAAGTGGGAACAGTTTCAGTGCTTCTTAGGGGTTCATGTTAATGATGAACTTGGGTGGAGATGGTGACACAGCTTGTTCTCTCTCCTAGGCTTTTAGTGCATCCAAGATCCTGAGCTGCCAGGGGCCTGGCCACTCCTGCTCTGAGCCCTGCCTTGGCTGAGCTGGTCACTGCTGTGTGTCCCGGGCTGCTGGCCTGCCTGTCGATCTGCAGTGTACAGGTATGCATGTGTGTGCATACGTACACACACCACACACGTACCATGCCTACCTCATACCACACCCATACCCTATGCACACCACACACACATCATACTCACCTCTCACATACTACACACATGCTATGCTCACCTCACATACACCACACACAACATACCTACCCACCTCACATACACCACACACAACATACCTACCCACCTCACATACACCACACACATACCCCATACACACCACACACCTAACTCATGTACACCACACACACACCCCACATACATAACCCTCACACACATACCCCATACATACCATACACAATACACATACCTGCGTCACAGACCACATATACATTATGCCCACCTCTTACACACCACACACTTAACTCATATACAGCAAACACACCACACACATACCATGTCTACCTCACACACAACACACACATAGCCCATACCCACCACACACAACACACATCATACCCACCTCACACACCACACACTACATATATACCATGCCCACCTCACATACCCCACACACTTAACCCATGTACACCACACATCCCATGCCCACCTCACACACCCCACACACAACACACATATACCCACTTCATACAACACACACAACATATATACCATGCCAACGTCACACACCCCAGATACTTAACCCATACACACCACACACACAGCACATACATATCCCCACCTCACTCACACACCATACACTTATCATACCCCATACACACCACACACAACACACGTCATACACCACACACCACATATACACCATGCCCACCTCACACACACCATACATATATCATACCTATCTAACACACATACCCCATACACACCACACAACACATACTCACCTCTCACACCACATATATACCATGCCCGCCTCACACACACCCGATACAACACACACATATCATACCCACCTCACACATCACACACCACACACCACATATATACGTGTCCTTCTCAGACACACCACACACTTAATCCATGTATATTACACACACCACACCCATCTTACCCACCTCACACACCACACAGCACATATACACCTTGTACACCTCACACACCCCACACATTCAACCCGTATACACCACACACATTCTACCCACATACCATGTCCAGCTTACACACACCATACACATATCATACCCACCTCACACACATACCCTGTACACACCACATGTGTATAACAACCACGTCACAGACACCACATATATACCTTGCCCACCTCACAAACACCAGGCACTTAACCCATATGCACCACACACACACACCACACACACACCCACCTTACACACGACACACATATGCCGTACACACCACGCACAACACACATATCGTACCCACCTCATACACCATATCCTAGATATATACCATGGCCACCTCACACACATCATACATATATTATTCCCACCTAACATGCATACTCCATACACAACACATACAACACACATACCCACCTCACACACCACATATATACCATGTCTGTCTCACACAGACCACACACTTAATGCGTATACACCACACACACCAGATACTACCATGCCCACCTTACACACATTATACGCATATCACATCCACCTCACACATCAGACACACTTAACCCATATACACCACACACCACATATATACTATGCCTACCTCACACACCCCACACACTAACCTTTATATGCCACACACACAGCACACACATATCATACCCACCTCACAGACACCCCACACACCCCAGGTACACCACACAGGTATACCCACATTACACACCACACACCACGTATATACCATGCCCACCTCAGACACACCACACACTTAACCTGTGTATATTATGCACACCATGCACATATCATACCCAACTCACACACACACCATACGCATATCATACCTTCCTCACACACACACCCCGTACATACCACACACAACATGCATATCATACCCACCTCACACACCACAAAGCACATATACACCATGCCCACCTCACACACAGCACATACTTACCCATGTACACCGCAAACACCCCCCACACATACTTCATATACACCATGCCCTCTCCACACATACTACACACCACACCTATACCACATACACACCACACACACCATACACACCACATACCATGTGTACACATCATACAGATTTTGTATATACCTACACACTCTATACATGTCACACACCTTACACACTTCATAAATTCCACACACACAGCACACCATACTCCCCATACATGTTACATCATCCATACAACACATCACCTTCCACACAGATAACTTATTCACACTACACAGATACCACACACACCACATAATATCATACATACATATACCATACACACTTAATACACAACACACACCCCATACACACCACACGTACTACACCATACACATGAAACATACACACTCAACGCTTTCACACTACATCACACTCCACACATACCAGACATGCATCACATACACCACAGCCACACACTGTTCACAGTGTATTGCACATATTCACCCTCAAGGATGCCCCGCCACCACACACACACTGTACACTCCTTACCCACCACACTACACACACTGTATCTCATGCACACACCACACAGCCCCCACCACACAAGCTACCCATTGAATGAAATGGAATTATTTAGTTTTCCCAAAATTTATACTGCCCATCTGGGCAACCCCAGTTGTCCTAGCCAGCACATCCCTTGGTCCCGCCCTCCCTTGGGTCAGCGCTGCCTCCGGTGTTTCTGGTGTCTCTGGGGCATGCTCACTTCCCAATTGCCTGGGAGGCTGGCCCCTCTATCCCAGTGGCTGCCTTCCTGGAGGAGACTGGCCTTTTTGCCACTGTCCTGACGTCCGGAGTGGCAGTGGGTATGTGAAGTCCTGCTTCCTCCCCTCGGTCTCTGCCCTTCCCCACCAGTTGTTCTGTCTCAGTGCTGATGTCTCCTTAGCTAGAAGAGGAGAACCTCAAAGGCACACAGGTGGGTTTGATTATAATGCTGGTGAATAATAAATGCGATTTGGTGAAAGACTCAACCAGTACAAACATCTTTAATAAAGTAAAATGTGCAGGTCCCCTCTGCTCCCACCTCTTTCCCCTCCCCTCCCCAGAGGACATGGCTGAGAAGCCTTTGGGGGCTCCCCCTTTCTGTGTGCATTTGCATCTATGTATGGGCTGGGGAGTGTGTGCGTATTCTTTAACCATCTTGACAGAGCTGGAACTGGGATCTACACATGTGCACTGACTATAGCTCACTTGCCATTTTCCCTCCAAAACAGGCCTTTAAGATCCCTCACTGTAGTGTGCATTGCCCTGCCTCTTTAAAAACGCTGTCAACTCTTGACGCAAAGTCTGCCGTCATTTATTTAACCATTCTTTTATTTACGGGTACTTAGGTCGTTTTCAGTTTTTTGAAAGATGACTGTAGTGAAAATCTTCAGCTGTCATTTGCCGTTGCTGTGGGAGAACATGCTGGGAGGTGCTGTGGGGGTGGAGTGGCCTCGTGCGTGGCCAGGCTTTGTGAGGTTCTGACTCTGTCCTTCCCAATGTTCCTCCCACACTGGCGGCCTCCTCCAGGAGATGATGGCTGTGTGAGTGCCTGCCATGGCCCACCAAAAGTGTGAGAGCGCGAGGAGCGGCATGTTGGACCCTGGAGGGAGGCTGGGCCCTGTTCCCCATGGCCAGGAGCAAAGACGAGGAGCTGCCCTTAGAGGACTGTGTGCCCGAGGGCCTGGAACTGGCTGCCCTATGGCCAGAGAGCCCCATGCCCGAGGAGTAGGAGTGCCACAACCAGAGCGCCGATGGGGACTCCCACTATGTGAACAACACCTCCAAGGAGGAGGACTACGACGAGGGCCTCCCCGAGGAGGAGGAGGGCATTACCTACTACATCTGCTACTGCTCCGAGGACGACAGCTACCTGGAGGGTAGGGACTGCAATGGGGAGGAGTACCTGGCCCATGGCACATACCCTGTCAACACTGACATGTGCCAGGAGCATCCACACTACATGCCTCCTATCTGGACCGACCAGTGAAGAGCTCAGCCACCATTAGAACTGCAAGGCACCCAGCCCCTCCCACCACCTGGCTTCATCATCTACAGGGGCTGTACCAGGAGGTCCCTTGCTCTCAGGCTCCTCTGCTACCTTCTTTGGAACAGGAGAGTCTTACTCTGGGACAGGAGAGGAGTGGCTGGACTTGGCGGGCCTGCACCCCCATAGCCACTGTGCTGAGAGCAGCCAGGACTACCTGGACGGCCACCTGCCCATCCTGGAGGACGAGCCCTCTGTCCTGGAGGCCCACGACCAGGAATAAGAGGGCCACTACTGTCCCAGCAAAGAGGACTACCAGGGTTGCTACCCCACAGAAACCAACGGGAACACCGGCGCCTCCCCCTACCACATGAGGCATGGGGACGGGGACCTGGAGGACCAGGAGGAGGACGTTGACCCTATTGTGGTCGAGATCAAGAGGAGCCTGAGCATGACCAGCATCACTAGCGCCAGTGAGGCCAGCCCTGAGCATGGGCCTGAGCCGGGACCTGGGGACTCTGAAGAGGCCTTCGTGCCCAGCAAGGCCAGCTGCAGCCCCAGCAGGCACGAAGCGAAACCCAAGTCACTGAACCTCCCTCTTGAGGCCAAGCACTGTGAAGACCCCCAGAGAGGCATCAAGCCCAAGACTAGGACCCCAGAGGAGAGGCCGAAGTGGTCCCACGAGCAGGTAGGACTCTCCTGTCCCAGAGAATGGAGCAGAGGAGCCTGAGAGCAAGGGACCCGGCTCTGCATCTCTTCTTATAGAGGTGCTAATCCATCATGAGAGCTCCACCCTCCTGACCTAATTACCTCCCAAGGGCCTCACCTCCTAACACCATTACATTGGAGGCTAGGATTTCAACATATAAATTTTGAAGGAACACATTCAGTTCATAGTACATAGAAAGTAATTTCTTAAATAAAGTACTGAAAGTGGTGGTTCACGCCTGTAATCCCAGCACTTTGGGAGGCTAAATAAAGCAGGAGGATTGCTTGAGCCCAGGACTTCCAGACTAGCCAGGGTAACATAAGACCCTGTCTCTCCCTGTGTGTATAATATATATATTATATATTGGTATATATATTATATAATACACACACACACACACACAGACACACACACACACACACACACACACAATTAGCTGGTTGGTTGGCTGTGTGCCTGTAGTTCTGGCTACTCAGGAGGCTAAGGAGAGAGGATCACTGGGGGCAGGAATTTAAGGCTGCAGTGAGTTGTGATTGAGCCACTGCACTCCTGCCTGGGCAACAAAGTGAGACTCTGTCTCAAAAAAAAAAATATTAAAAGCATAAGCTCAAAAGAAAAATGGTGATAGATTTGATTTCGCCAAAGTATTTAGAGTTCTTTTCAACTAAAAATACTGCAAAGTTTAAAGAGAAACCATAGATCAGGAGCAGGTATTTGCAATTCATATAATCAACAGAGGATACGATGTAGAATACTTAATGAATTCTTATAAACTAATATTTTTAAAAGTCAGCCAACCAAAAGAAAAGTGGGCAAACAATATGAACACGTAGTTCATAGAAAAGTTAACTTGGCCAGGCACAGTGGTTCACGCCTGTGATCCCCGCACTTTGGTAGGCCAAAGTGGGGAGATCAACTGAGGTCAGGAGTTTGAAATTAGCCTGGCCAACATGGTGAAACCTCATCTCTACTAAAAACACAAGTTAGCTGGCCATGTTGGCATGTGCCTGTAGTCCCAGGTACTCAGGAGGCTGAGGCATGAGAATCGTTTGAACCCAGGGGGGCAGAGGTTTCAGTGAGCTGAGATTGCACCACTGTGCACCAGCTGGGAAGCAGACCAAGATTCCATCTGAAAAAAAAGAAAAAAAAAAAGTATCTGATCTGCAAACATAGCAAGCATCAATAGGAATGAGGGAATTGGACATAGAAATGACAAGGAGAGAGAGGCCAGGCGTGGTGGTTTATGCCTGTAATCCCAGCACTTTGGGAGGTTAAGGCGGGTGGTTAGAGATGGAGACCATCCTGGCCAACATGGTGAAACCCCATCTCTACTAAAAATATAAAAATTAGCCGTGCATGGTGGTGCGTGCCTGTACTCCCAGCTACTCAGGAGGCTGAGGCAGGAGAATCGCTTGAACCAGGGAGTTGGGTTGCAGTGAGCAAGGTGGTGCCATTGCACTCCAGCCTAAGACAGAGCGAGACTCAAAAAAAAAAAAAAAAAGTTAACCAAAGAAAGTAAATTTTCGATAACACGTACAAGTCACGAATAATATATAACAAATAGGACATACACGTTATTAGCTAACATTTAAACATGTTTAAATATAAGTAGCAGAACTATAAAATATTGCACAGGAGTGAACTTAGTTCACTCCTCTGAATTCAGAGGAGTGGGTACCTCTAGGGACTGGTAGCAGAATAAGCCTGTAGGGGGAGGTTCTGGGGGCTTTATTTCATATATGTTTGTTTTCGTTCATGAAGCCAGAAAGTCTCAAGCAAGTATCACTACATATGAGTATGTTCTGATAACCCCAGAGAATGGTACCCAGGAGTTTGGCATATGGGCTCCTACAGATTTATGTTATGTTTGAAATATTTATTTATTTATTTATTCTTGAGACTGAGTCTTGCTTTGTTGCCCTTCACTCACCGCAACCTCCACCTCCCAAGTTCAAGCGATTCTCCCACCTGAGCCTCCGGAGTAGCTGGGTTTACAGGCACATGCAACCATGCTGGGGTAATTTTTGTGTTTTTAGTAGAGACAGGGGTTTCACCATGTTGACCAGACTAGTCTTGAACTCCTGACCTCAAGTGATCCACCTGTTTCAGCCTCCCAAAGTGATGGGGTTATAGGTGTCAGCCACTGCACGCACCCTGAAATATTTGATAATATATTTTATTTTGTTTTAAGGTGTGCCTCTTGGTGAGTGTGCCCAGGAGGAGGATGGCTGTGAAGATGGGCAGGCACCCTCCCTGCTGTGCACGTGGCCCCATGTCTGGCCTCGCCAGGTCCCAGCTGCAGGCTGAGCAATTGTCCACAGGCCAGACAGGCTGACGTCCTGGCCTGGGCTCTGGCCATGACTGCTGCATGCCCTTTTTGCAGTTGCTTGGCAGGGGGTGAGCCTGGTTTGCTGCACCAGCTGAGACCCAGGCTGCAGTTGTCCTGGCCAGAGAGGACAGAGTTAGTGGCCTGGGACCTGCTGCAATCCACAGCCGGAGTCAAAGCCAATTTCCCAGTCTGCAGAGTGAGACAGTGGATCTCATGGTCTCCAAGGATTCATCCAGCTCTGTTTTCCTTGGCCCAGGGTTTGTCTTGAGGCCTGTGGCTAATGCCCTGGGCTCTAGTCTCTCTGGGCAAGGGAGCAAAGCTGATCAGAAGTTGGCCTCCACCTTCCTGGCTTTTCACCTCCATTCTGAGCTTCCTCTCTCTGGCTTCCCCATCAGTTATGTGCCCCTTGAGGAGGGGCTTCCCAGAGGAAGAGTTGGCCAAAAGGGGCCTTTTTGTGTGAATTGGAAGGAGGAAGGAAAGAGGCAGCCGTTGACTATCCGCGGTGTCACTGGCCAGGTCTAGGTCCATTCTGCCTGTGCACAGCAAGTCGATCATTTGTGACATGGGTTTTGCAAAAGAAAAAGGATGGATTCACAAGGCAGCTGAAGGAGGAAGCAGAAGAACAGCTCTGAAATCCACCTCCCTGGCGATAAGACTGGGAATTGTTTCTTGGTTAGGGAAGTGTGATGCTCTAAGATGTGGAGGGAGGTGATTGGCAGTGGGCAAAATGAAGTAATAGGTTCATTTTGTGCAGAGGAGGCAGGGCACGGTGGCTCACGCCTGTAATCCCAGTACTTTGGGAGGCGGAGGCAGGCGGATCACAAAGGAGATCCAGACCATCCTGACTAACATGGTGAAACCCTATTTTTACTAAAAATAGAAAAAATTAGCCAGGCGTGGTGGCACATGCCTATAGACTCTGGAGGCTGAGGCCGGAGAAATGCTTGTACCTGGGAGGCAGAGGTTGCAGTGAGCCAAGATCCCACTACTGCACTCCAGCCTTGGTGACAGAGTGAGACTTTGTCTCAAAAAAATGTTCAGAGCAAGGCCTTGCAAGGCTTGTCAGTTTCCTGGTACTTCCTTAGCCCTGTAGCTTTTGTTCTTGTGGTTACTATGTGGCTGCTGTTTTTCCAGGCTTTGGATTGCCTTCCTGGTGGGGAAGAGAGATGGTTCAAAGGCCAAGTCTGTCTCTTTTTAGCTGAAAAACATAGATTTTTCAGAAGTTTTAAGATTATACTTCAGTTTTTATCTTTCGGCTGCAAATAAGTTGTGTCACTATTCTCAACTGCAGGGGCGTTTAACTGGGAATGTTGCTTCCTCTCTGTTAGCTCGGTTTTCAAATTTATGTATGGGTACTGAGTTTTATCAATTGCTTTTTTGTTTGTTGATTGAGCATTTTTAAACATCTTTTTATGTTGATAAGGTAGCTTACAGTGATTGGCTTTTGAATGTTAACTCACATCGCCTTTCTGGAATTCAATCAACTTGGTTGTGATGTATGATCAACCCCATTTTATATGTGGTTGAAATGGGTTTGTTCATAGTTCATTTGGTAATTTTGTACTTAGTTCCCAAGAGGAAGTGGAGTGTAAGTTTACTTTCTGGTGATGTCCTATTAGGTTTCAATATGAAATATTAAGGCTATGCTGGTTAAACAGTTTGGAAACTGTTTCTTCTATTTTTGACAGTTTATGTAAGATGTGTGCTATTTCTTCCTTAAGCATTTGGAAAGAATTCACTTACTAAGCCATGTGAGACTGTAGTTTTCTTTATAAGGTTTTTAATTACAGGTTCAATTACATAAAAATGACCATTTTGCTAAGCCATCTTTGTTGAATCAATTTGTTCATTTTATCTCAAATTTCAAAGTTGTTCTAATATTTATCTTTTTTTTTTTGAGATGGAGTCTCATTCTGTCGTCAAGCTAGAGTGCAGTGGTATAATCTCGACTCACTGCAACCTCCGCCTCCCAGGTTCAAGCGATTCTCCTGCCTCAGCCTCCCACCAAGTAGCTGGTGTGCACCACCACACCCAGCTAATTATTTGTGTTTTTAGTAGAGATGGGGTTTCACCATGTTGGCCAGGATGGTCTTGATGTCCTGACCTCATGATCCCCCGGGTAGGCCTCCAAAAGTGCTGGGATTACAGGTGTGAGCCATTGCACCCGGCCTCATTTATCTTTTTCATATTGCTGAAATCTGCAGTTAAGAGTTTGTGTCTCTTGTCTTTTGTTTGTTTTTTTGAGACAGAGTCACTCTGTTGCCTGGGCTGGAGTGTAATGGCGAGATCTTGGCTCACTGCAACCTCAGCCTCCCAGTTCAAGCAATTCTGCCTCAGCCTCCCCAGTAGCTGGGACTACAGGCACCTGCAGCCACACTCGGCATTAGCCACTGTCACCTTTATCTTCCCTCTCTTCCCACCGGTCATTGTTGCCTGGAAGCTTTTCCCCCGCTCCAGTGATCCAAGAGGCGAGTGAGCGCGTCTGGTGAGGGGAAGCGGCGGGGAGGGGGCCGTGGGTCCTGATTGCAGGTGTGCTGCCCTTTAGCTTGGGGGCTCGTTAGCCGGGCCCTTATTGAGGTGTGTGGCCCGGTGTGGTTCGTCAGGAGCTGGGCTTCCCAGCATGAGCGAGCGGTGGCAGGCGTCTTAGGCA